AGCTCAAGCTGTCCTCCTGCCTTGGCCTCCCAGAGTGCTAGGATTACAAGCATGAGCCACTGTACCTGCCCCAAATTGACTTTTAACAACTTAATATTCTTAATGTCTAGCATTCAATCAAAAATTACTAAATATGCAAAGAAGCAGGAAAATGTGACTCGTAACCACTCATATTTGAAAAATCGGTAAATAGGAAAAGACCCCAAAATGACAGAGAAGAGGATGTTAAAGGAGCAAATATAAATATGATCAAGAATCTAAAGGAAAGCATGAACAAAAAGAGAAGATAAAGGGAAACTGTAAAGAAGAACAGATTGAAATTTCTAGAGCTAAAAAATATGATACCTAAAATGAAAATATACTGAATGGGCTTTAAAAAAAAGATTATATGGTGTAGGAAAAAAAGGTGAGTGAACTTGAAGATACAGCAGTAGAAATTATCCAAACTGAAGTGCAGAGAGACAAGGAGTCGAAAATGAAAATGAAGAGAGCCTTGATGACTCATGGGATAATATTGGGGTTGGGGTGGGGCAGAGCAAGAGAAAAGGTAGAAATAATGGCCTTAAAATTTCCAAATCGAATGAAAACTATAAACCCACAGGTTCAATTAGCCTTGAGCAGGGCCAGGCGCAGTGGCTCATGCCTATAATCCTAGCTCTCTGGGAGGCCGAGGCGGGCGGATTTTTTGAGCTCGGGAGTTCGAAACCAGCCTGAGCAAGAGTGAGACCCCATCTCTACTAAAAATAGGAAGAAATTAATTGGACAACTAAAAATACATAGAAAAAATTAGCTGGGCATGGTGGCGCATGCCTGTAGTCCCAGCTACTCGGGAGGCTGAGGCAGGAGGATTGCTTGAGCCCAGGAGTTTGAGGTTGCTGTGAGCTAGGCTGACGCCACAGCACTCTACTCCAGCAACAGAGTGAGACTCTGTCTCAAAAAAAAAAAATGCTGGAATATCTATTTTTTTATCAGACAAAGCTGACATTTGGACAAGGAATATTTCATAAATCATAAAAGGGTCAATTTGTCAAGAAGACTTAAGAATCCTAAATGTATATGCACTAATAAAAAGGTTTCAATTTACTTGAAGTAAAAACTGAGAACCAAAAGGAGAAATAGACCCATTCACAATTTAAATTTGAGATTTTAATCTTCATGGCTCAGTAATCGAAAGAACAAGTGGGGGAAAAAGAAATAAAAACAGTAAGGACATAAAAGACTTGAACAACACTATCGACCAACTTGACCTAATTATCTCTATAGAACACTCCACCCAACAGCAGTGGATTCACATTCTTTTCAAGTATGCACAGATGGACCATTCATCAAGATAGACCACATTTGGGCCAAACACAAGCTGAACAAATTCAAAAGGAATGAAATGATAGACTCTATTCTCTGACCACAGGGGATCAAATTAGAAATCAATAACAAAATGATAATCTGGAAAGGTCCCAAATATTTGGAAATCAAACAACATACTTCTAAACATCCAAGAGTATTTTTGGAATTGATAGAAATCAAAAGTTGGGAAAAAATCAGAGGAAATTATCTCATTAATATTTATTACTTAAAATGAGAAAACAGAGGCCCAGAATGGTTTGTGGTGACTTATTAAAGGTTTGACAGTGAGTCTGTTTTCCCCAGGCGTGGTGCTTATTATATTAATACATTGACTTGACTGTTTGTTTGAGCACATCTCGTTCCCCCGCCGTACTGTGAGTTCCTTGAGGACATGAGCAATTCCTGTGTCTCTGCATTGCTCAAGACACGGAGTATGTATTCAGCACATGAAAAATAACCAGTATATAGATAGTAGCAGAGCAGGGACCCGGATGTTAGTGTCCACGGCCCAGGGAGATGTATATTCTGCTACACACATAGACTGGTTGAGGGCAAAAGTTCCTGGCTTTGGAGTCCGATAGGCCTGATTCATATTCAACTCTGTCATCTCTTCGCCGTGTGATACTCAGTTACTCACTTTCCCAGTTACTCGTCTATGAAATGGAAAAACAACAACAGGGCTGAGGAAAGGATCTAATCATTGAGTGGAGAGTTGTCATTCCTTTCGGTTGCCCAGGATCTAACCTCCTGCCCCTTTCAATGACTGTAAATTCTCCATCTGATGAGTCAGGGCCCTCCTCTTATCATAAAACCTGCCAACGCCAGACTCCCTGCAGCCAGGGCATGGGACGTGACTGAAGCTCCCCAAGCAGACACACCTATCCTGCATGTGGAATCAGAAGCCAGTGATGTGTACAAGCAGGGGTCACACAGGATTTGGCAACTGAGCTTTCCAGGGGTAGCAGAGCTAGTGGTTCTAGAGCAATACTGACCAACTGAACTTTCTGTGATGATGGAATGTTCTAAACTAGTAGGATATAGCTAAGGTGCTGGCCAGTAGGGCAGCCACCAGCCACACAGGGCTACTGAGCACTTTAAATGTGGCTGTTGCCACTGAGGAACTGAATTTTAGATTTCATTTAATTGTAATTAATTTAAATTTAAATAACCCCACGTGTCCAGTGGGTCCCATATTAGATAGCCCAGTTCTTCAAGCAATGTCCAGGGCTCAGCATTGGTGGTGTCAGCTGTGTAAACTGCAGGTCTGGGCTCAAAAGGGACACCACAAGAATCCTAATCAGTTTTGTTTTGTTTTGTGAGACAGGATCTCACTCTGCTACCCAGGGTAGAGTGCAGTGGTGTCATCATAGCTCACTGCAACCTCAAAAACTCCTGGGCTCAAGCAATCCTCCTGCCTCAGCCTCCCAAGTAGCTGGGACTATAGGAGCATTCCACCGCCTCAGCCTCCCAAGTAGCTGGGACTATAGGTGCATTCCACCATGCCTGAATGATTTTTCTATTGTTTTTAGAGTTGAGGCCTCGCTATGTTGCTCAGGCTGGTCTTGAACTCCTGGCCTCAAGCAATCCGCCCGCCTCAGCCACCCAAAGTGTTAGGATTACAGATGTGAGCCACCACGTCCGGTCTCCTAATCAGTTTTGCAGTGGATCTGGGACATTATTTCTGGGTGGGTAGCTGCCAAGACCAGTTCCCAAGTCTTCCATTACCCTTTACTAAATTTCTTTTCTACCTAAACTCCTAGAGTGGGTTTTGTGATTCTTGTCACCAAGAATCCTAAGTGATATAAACGAAATGTGGAGTGCAGAAGCGTCTAGCACAGCTCAGGATGTGCTCAATAAATCTTCGTTTCCATCCCCTCCCTAGGAATCGGCGTATGCAAGTGCTAATTATAGGATGTGCACTCTGTGCTGTCAAGAGTGAGTGACGATATCATCTGATCCGCAGTCAGGGAAGGCACAGAGGCCTCTGGGACAACCCCGGCCCACCTCCTAGTGTGTTCCTTAGGTTAGGGGAACATTCAGCATACACAACAGACCCACAATCAAAGGCTCGAAGATATAGCACACTCCTAACTCTATAGGGGAAAATGGTGTCTATTTTTAGTCTGTAAACCCTAGATTTGAGACCTCTTCCCCTAATCTGCTTGACCTAATTATATAATATATCTTCTTGGTTTTTAGAAATGAGCAAAAAGTAAAACCACAAAACAGGAAGTAAACACAATTGATGTCTATGTGATTCATTTCCCAAATGGACTCACTCATGTCTCCTATTAAAGCTGACGTGGGATTTACACCCTCAGAGGCAGATTTGGCTGACAGGTTACCAGGGCAACCTGTAGCTCCAGGAGAGTGAGCTACCGTTCCTCTTGCCGACTGTGGCTCAGGGTGGAAAGAGTGTTCATCTGTTTGTCTGAGGATTAGATTTGTGCAACCAGTCGCAGCTTATGGGGAGAAAAAATGCATTCAATACAGCTGTCTTCCCAGCGAGGGGTAGGGAAACCAGGGGCTCTGGAGCCAGGCTGTTGGGTTGGAATTGCGGCTCCTTCACTCACTATGTGTGTGACTTCATACACAACATCTTTGAGCCTCAATTCCCTCAACTCTAAAATGGGGATAGGAACACCCATTTTGTAATATTGCTGGAAAGATTCAATGTGTTCATAAGTATAAAGAGCTTTATAAAGTATAGCGGGCACTAAATAATATTGCTATCATACATGATGTCACCCAATGCGCATGGTAATTAATAATAGCTACCAATTATTGAACTTTCACTACATGCTGTGCACTGAGCTAAGAGTTTATGTATACTGTAATACCATACTTTATCCATGTAACAAGCTCTAAAAGTATTTAGCCCTATTTTAGAAATCAGGCTTCAGAGAGGTTATGTGACCTTCCCATGGTCACACAGCTTGTCGAAGAGTCAGGACTTAGACCCAGGACTAGTCTGGGTCTTTCATGAGTTCTTTTATTTATCCATATTTCTTGAGTACTTACTACTCTTAACCACCACACTGCATCCCCCAGTGATATGGGATTATCTTTCAGTGAACACTCAAATCTAGTACTGCAGGTTCTTAGATTATAAAGAGGCTTTCTTGTAATAATGAAAGTATTCCACCTATGTTCACAATACTATTGATTTACACTTCATTATTTTCCTAAAATCTTCTCATATATTATTTACTTTTCCCAGAAAACACGAGAGATGAGGCTCTGCATGCCTTCTCAGCAGAAAGCTTCCCCCTTTGCTTTGGAATGGTACACAGAGACAGAATGTTCCCTTACTCTGGAATGCCACTGATTAATGACCTGCATCTACCTGCTGCCCATCTATCCTAGGCACTAGGATATGCTTCATTTCTTCACAGGAATTCCCTCATTAAATCCTCACAGCCATTCTATGAGGTGCTATTATTATCATCATCTGTTTTACAAATGGGGAAACTGAGGCATGCAGAATTTCCCTCTGCCAGGGCCCAGGTTAAATAACTTGCAGTGTGGCAGCAGAGTGGGGATTTGGCTCCAGGCAGTCTTCCAGGCCTGAGGTTTTGGTTCATGGTGTTCCTTTGCGTTTTTGCTGAGTGAGTAGAGTTGAATTTCCCTAAGTTACCCTCTCATGACACCATTCCATACCCCGTCAATGACTCCAGGCCTTGCTGTCTCATGGTCCTAGGGGTGTCCCCTGTCTCCTCCAAAAGACCCTGAACTCCCTTTGGGCAGGGACTGCATCTTTCATCTGTGTGTATCCAGAGAACCGGCTTAGATTTGTATATAGCAGGAGCTCAGTAAATGTTTGCGGAAGAAAATAAGACATAAGAGAGGAAAGGAAGGAGGAGGGAGAAAGAAAAAGAGCCAGTCCAGTCTCTATAAAGCGGGAGCTCACCTTCTGCAACTTCTTTCTTTCAGCCTCCACGGACGAGCAAACCGATTTCACTTCCACAGTATGCTTCTTTACGAAGTCTTCCAGTCGCTTCACTAGCTGGTCTCTGAGATGTTTCTTTTCCTCTTCTGTCTGGTGTTTGATTTTACGAAGGTCCTCTTCATATTGTTGCTTCATATTGATATATTCTGTCTCCAGACTTGCCTCTTTCTTGGTCTATAAAAAGAGAAAGGACCTTGTAAAACTGCCTGGGAGGGGTGGGAGCAGGGAACCCATCTCCCTTCCATACAACTTTTACAACATTTATGTACTGATTTTACAGCATGTGTCACAAGGCACAATGAATTTTACAGGACTATATGTCTGATATTTGTAAGAGTTCTCACTTTATCCACCACTGGAAAAGGGCTCTTTGGAATGGTGTGTTTACTGTCACAAGGTCAGATATTCCAGCCCATGCTACAGCAGTTTCTAAAGAATGCTTTGTGTGTTTAGACTGGGAACACATAATGGCATCCTAAGCCAGTTTCCAGGAGGCGACGATAAGGAGTTGGGAGGATTCTGCTACATTCTCAGTTTCCCAGTTTCCAATGGCATGAGGTAGGCAGGAATTTGGCTGGCTCTCTACTCCTGAAACCACGGGACCTGTTCACTCCAAGTGGATCTATCATGTTTGGAGAATGACCTCTACCTCAAGTTCATGCCAGCAAAGCTTCCTGGGCCTTCTCCACCCCAGGGCTGGATCAGACACTACCTGTGTATCTGTGCCTCCTTTTGTGCAAGGACACTCCTTGGGAAAGCTTTGATTCTGCTCAGGATGAAGACTGTGGGCTTCCAAGTCATTTGCTTTCCCCAGGACTTCATTTTCTGAAACCAGCTCAGTCTTCGTGTCATCTGCAAGCATAAGTAACAACATCATGTGGAATGCCCTTGGCCTTGGCCTGGTGTCCAGGTCTTCTACTGTCAGGTCCCCATTCTGCTAGTTGACCTCTTTGTCCAGCACTCTCCTATGTAATTCCTGGCTCATGGTCTACTACTGGCTCTCACGCATGGTCAAAGGAGTGATTCTCATCCTTTTCTCTCTCTTTTTTTTTTTTTTTTGAGGCAGGGTCTCACTGCTAGAGTACAGTGGCATCATCATAGCTCACTGCAGCCTCAAATTCCTGGGCTCAAGTGATCCCCCTGCCTCAGCCTCCCGAGAGGCTAGGATTAGGGACATGCACCACCACGCCTGGCTGATTTTTCTTTTTTCCTTTTTTCAGAGATGGGGTCTTGCTATGTTGCTCAGGCTGCTCTTGAACACCTGGCCTCAAGTGATCCTCCTGTCTCTGCCCAAGCAGCATCCTGAGCTTAAATAGCTGCCTTTGCTCTCTCTTCCTCAACGAGTAATCTCCAAATTTTTTTGATTGTACTTTCCATAGGTTAAAAAAAAATTGAGCATGTCCCCCGATATATGTACAAAAAATGGGCATGTCCCCCAGTAGGAATTTAGAGGATGAAACAAAAAATAAATATAACCAGAATTACTAAGTTCCCCCCATATTCTCTTAAGTATTGATGCCCTACTTTTGAGACCTCTGCTCCAAACCACAACACCTTTCTCGTTCCAACTCGAACTTCTCCTCCTCTGCACTTTGCTGGCCCATGGTGATTTCTTCTTTCCCAGACACATTATCCCCTGCTACCTGGGCCACACCTGTGATGCCAGCGTGCTGTGGGCTGTAATGTCACAGCCCCTGAAGGCAGAGCCCATGGCTTGTCCCTTTGTTATCTCTCCCAGTGTCAGGCTGGTTGCTCTGTAGGTATTCAAGAACTTTCTATTGATAGAGCCTCAGGGAAGGCATTTGAAGTCATGTATTCTTTTTTTTTTTGAGACAAAGTCTCACTCTGTTGCCCGGGCTAGAGTGCTGTGGCATCAGCTTAGCTCACAGCAACCTCAAACTCCTGGGCTCAAGCGATCCTCCTGCCTCAACCTCCCGAGTAGCTGGGACTACAGGCACGCACCACCATGCCCAGCTAATTTTTTTTTTTCTATATATATATGTTTTTAGTTGTCCAGCTAATTTCTTTCTACTTTTAGTAAAGAGGGAGTCTCGCTCTTGCTCAGGCTGGTCTCAAACTCCTGAGCTCAAATGATCCACCCGCCTCGGCCTCCCAGAGTGCTAGGATTACAGGCGTGAGCCACCGCGCCGGCCTGAAGTCATGTATTCTTACATACAAACACCAGCTCTACCACCAACCAGTTGGCTGACCTCGAGCCAGCCACTTACCCTTTCTCAGCCTCATGTCTTGATCCATAACATGGGGAGACAGACAACGCCTATCACACAAAATTACTGGAAAGACCCAATAATGGACTTGTGCAAAATGATGTTAACAGCATAAAGCATTGTCTAAGCGTCAGGTGGGGAATGAGAACATGCTGAGAATTTCAGCATTATGGTGGGCCTAGTGGGGAACTATGTGGGGGAAAAGGGGTCTTTCCATATCATACCTTTTAGATGTCTGCCCTGGGCCAGTTCCAGGTGAGACAGTTTTAGGTGTCAGTTCACCTGTGCCCTGTGAGGACGGGACTCACCCCTGGCGGGTCAGATCAAGCAGCCCTGCCCCTCTTCTCTGCCCCCTCAGCAGTCTCGAGCCTGCCACTGGAGCCAGGCCAACCTGGCAGCTAACATTTGGGCTTCAAGGAAGTCATTCCAGGGCATCTCACCAGTTTTCTGTGTCTCATGACACTCCTGCAGCATCAGTCTGTCTTTGGCAACAGCCAGCTTCTCCCCAAGTTTTTTTGCAGTGCTTTTCAACTCTGAATTCTCCTGTCGAGCCTCCTTGAGCTGCACATCCAGGTCCTAAACAGACAGGAAGGGTCCCATTTCTCTGGTTACAGCTCTGTATAGAGACATCCTGTGTACACAGAACAGCCATCAGATCTGAAAGGTGGGGAAGTGCCCAGCAGAAGCCCTGAATCTGTGGAATTCCGTGGCTCAGGGCACATCAAATCCCCCTTACCCTCGGACTCTGCGCCCTGGGCAGGTTATTTAACCTTTCTGTAGTGAGGATTAAATACAGAAAACAATGTTCAGGGAGTATTAGGAACATTGGCTGTTGCTACTTTTAGAGATGGGCTCTGTGCTTTTGTGGGGCTCACATAACTGACTCATCAATGGTCCTGCTCTCTATGAACACAAAGTCCTAAGGATTTGAGGACAGGCAGATTGTTACAGAAATAGCAAGGGCTTTAGAATTAGGCTGAGCTGAGTTCAAAAACTTATCAGCCGCGTGCCCAGCTAGGCCAGTCCTTAAGCCTCTCAATTTCAGTGTTGGCTTCTCATCTGTAAACTGTGTTTCTAAGCTCTGAGGTCAGGGACCAAGTCTAGCTCACCCGGTGTCCCCTGCCCATAGCCCCCCGCCTGGCATATAGTAAGTGTTCAATAAATATTTGCTGAATGCCTGTAGTTGAACTCAATGGAGATAATAAGGCTCACGTTGGTAGAAGCCAAGCACTTAGCCCAGTGCCTGACACATAGTAGGTGTTCAAAGTTAGCAGCCATGCCTCTATCCCGTTGGGGAGGTATGAGAAGATGCTGCTTTACCTGAATCCTTTCCTTTAGCTTCTGGGCATATTTCTTGAGGTCACTTATCTTGCGGCCTCTGTGCTCCAGGTCCCCTTCCAGCTTCCTGACCTGGGCCTGCAGAGCCGACTCCTGGACCTGGAAGTTCTTGCGGAGGTCAGACTCCTTCTCCTGCCACTGCCACAGGGCCTCGCTCACCGACTGCTGCATGGCCTGCCGGATGGCCTCGTTCTCCCGCTCGTAGGTGGCCTGCAGCTCCTCGGCCTTGCGGGCGTAGTCCCTGCTCAGCTGCTGGTTCTCCGCTCTCAGCCGCTGCACCTCCAGCAGGACCTCCTGCATCTCCGGGCCCTGGCCTGGCTCTGCTTTGGCGTCGGGGCTCTCCTGCGGAAGCCCGCCCCGCTGGGGGGCTTCGTGGCTCGTCAGGTGCTGGAGCCTCCTCTCGTAGTCGGCCTTGAGCTCCAGCATCTCCCTGGAGAGCGTCAGGACGCGCTCCGCGTGCTCTGCCTCCACCCGCAGCTCCCGCTCCTTGGTCTCCAGCCTGCACGAGGCCGACTCGGCCTGCGCCTCCTGCGTCAGCCTCTTCTGCAGCTCCAGGGCGCTCTCCAGGGCCTGGATGCGCTGGAGAAGGGCCTCCTCCTCCGCGCGGCCCCGTTCCTGCAGGAGCCTGGCCTGGGTCTCCGCCACCGCGTTCTGGAGCTCCGCCTGGTGCGCGTCCCGCAGCGCCTCCATGCTGGCCTCCGCCTCGTCCTGGCGGGTGTTCAGGGCGTAAATCACCTGCAGGAGAGTCAACGGAGCCCAGTTAGGGCCGGGGTGGGGTGTGTGGGATCCCGACGGGACCAGAGATGCTTCTCCCCCATCGTGCTGACTCAGGATGATCCATCCTCACAAATGGCACCTGAGAAGAGGATTTGCGTGAAAGTGGGACTGGAAAGTGTTGGGAACAAAACAAAAGGGTGACATTGACAAGGGCCCCAGAAAGGGCAGGTTCCGCAGAATCCGGTAGGGGACCCTGGAGTCCAGTGGGAGTCCACTGAAGAGTTTTAAAGCAGAGAAGTGATGTGATCTCATTTGTTCAAAAGGAACGCTTTGGAATGCAAAAACCCCAACAAAATCGAACCAGCAATATAGAAAAGGGGGGTATAACATGTGAAAATCAGCTAATGTAATGCATCTTATCAATAAAGGACAAAAACCACAGGATCTCTCAACAGACACAGGAAAAGCATTTGACGAAATTCACCATCCTTTCATGATAAACACTCAACAAACTGGAAACAGAATGGAATCTCCCCAACCTGATAAAACACATCTATAACCAATCCACAGTTAACATCATACTCAATGGTGAAAGACTGAGTACTTTCCTTATAAGATCAGGAAGAAGACAAGGATGATTGTTCTCCCTCTTTTAAAACAAAAGGAAAAAAAAAAGAGAATGCTTTGTCTGCTGTGTGAAGAATAGAATGAAGGAAGACATGAACACTATGGGAAGCCCAGGAATCAAGAATGACTCCCAAAATGCTGGCCTGAGCAACAGGCCGGTGTTTCCTGAAATGGGAAAAACTTTAGGTAGAACAGGTATGGAGAAGAAGACCAAGAATTCTAGTTTGAACACATTAAATGTGATATGCCTCTAGACACCCTTGTGGAGTTGGCACCAAGGCACATAGATACGTGTGTGGAGCTCAGAGGAGGAAGCCTAAACTAAAGATGAGGGGGATATGGAATCAGAACAGTTTTGCTACTGTTTGATTGATGAGAGAGTCCAGAGTATATCTGTATGAGGATGGGAAGGACTCCATGGAGAATCCAGAAATGGAAGCCCCAGGAATGACAATAAAGGGCCAAAATCCCTTAGAAGAGTAGTCTGCAGAGAGTGGTTTTGAGAACAGGAAGGGCCCATCCTCCATGGGAGCAGGAGGGAAGGAAGAAATGGGAACAGGTGTGTGGCACTTGGGGCAGGAGAATGAGGGAGCGTCACCTTGTGGATGTGAGAAGGTGGCTTCTACACTGTCAGTGGAATGAGGTAAGGTCATTAACAGTGTGCTGAGCTGGAGGACAGGAAGGAAACATGGAAATGTTTGAGGAATGAGAAGTTGTGAACTAGTTTTTAGGAAGGAGGAATGGAGTTGTCTATATTACAGGGCAGCACTGAAGGCTATGTGTGCTTACAGTTCTCTGCTTTGTTGTGAGATCTTCCCCAGATGTTCATCTGAGTGAGTTCAAGGAAGGACAGGAAGGATGGCTGGGTTATCTAGGCTTGGGGTTTTACTTGGTGAGTGTGACAGAGGGAGAGAAGGACACTGCAGTTGGGGTCTTTTCGAGAGCTGAAAAACTGGAAGGATGAGGCAGAGGCAGTTTTTCGGTGATGACAAGGTCAAGTGTGTGGCAAAGGGAGTGTGTGGCTGAGGCAGAGCAGAGGAAAAGATCACTGGAGGTGAGGGGGTGAAGAGGCTGAGAAACCCAGGGGTAGGGTGGGCCCACGTGAGGTGCTGCTCTCACTGATAAGGATGGAAGACAGCTGGGCTGGCCAAGACGCTTGGGAGTCAGATGCCAAGTGCCGCGCTGGCTCCCCTGGGCATTTAAGATCAGAAAAGTTCTCCTGAAGCATCCCTGCGCCACACCATCACACTGATTTACCTTTACCCTTTGTAAGCGTAAGGAAGGGTAACAAGAATATCTTATATTATGCATTTAATTTCATATTATATTCTTCACCCTCTTTTATACACATGAGAGAGGAGGAGCTTGGTTTTCTTTGTTCATCACTATACACCCCCAGTTCCTGGCTCAAGGCGCACACTCTAAAATGACTAAGTGAATGAGTAAATCAAGGAGTCGGACCTCTGACTTGAAGAATGTAATTGTCGAAGTGTGAGACGAGGTTGACGTCTTGTGAAGCCTTCGGAGAATACGCCCCACCTTGAGAATCATGAATCCAACACTCTCTCTGTCAAGGACCAGGGAAGGAAGCCCCTTTGCCCTCCCAGGAAGACTCCACAGTGGAATGAAGCTATCGTCTCTACAACTGTCTCCTCTCATCACCGTCTGCACAGGACTTGGCCACTTCCGGTGGTTTCTATGGCTTCCTAATGACTTCTATCCAAGAGTGTATCTGGGGTAAGTGAATGTTGAAACTGGTATCCCATTGCCTGTAATTCATGTTAATAATAAACAAAATTTTTACAGAATGTATTATGTACCTAGCACCAGGTGAGGTGCTATATACACATTCATAATCTCAGAGAATCTTCCTGGCAACACTTGGTATTTTTCTCTCCATTCGAAGAATGAGCAACTGAGGTTCAGAGAAGTTCAGTAACTTTTGCAAAGTCATGGAGAAGGTTTGACTAACTCTGAAGCACATGCTCACGGCATGGTAACACACTACATGCATCTCACTGTCTCATTCAGTCATTCATTCATGGATTCAGTGCGCATCTCGATGTGCCAGATTCTGGGCTGAGCACTGGGGATACCTGCTGGTCTGTAAGACAACTGAGTTTGCAACTTAAAATATTATAATTCAGTGGGAGAGTCAGACAAGAAAATGGAATGTTTCAATGCACTGTGATAAGTGCTGTGAGAGGATTCAGCACTAGTTACTATGGAAACACAGAGGAAGGGGTCTGATAGGAAAGAAGACGTCCCAGAAAAGTGAGCCTTGCCCCATCATCCTTGGGGTGACCAATCCCCTATTCCATGTCAACCTCTCCACAGGCAAGGACCATATCACCTCTTCGTGTTGTTCCACGGTACTTGGTATGAAGTTGAGTACACAGTAGGTTCATAGTAAGCATCTGTTATGGAGCTACTGCTGTAGGTCAAAGGGGTCACGTTTTCTTTCCACAGTGAAGAGCTGCTGCTAGCAGAGACCCCATTTCCTCTACCCTTGTATTTAGGTGAGGCCACAGGACTAACGGAATTTGGGTAGATGAGGTGATGTGTGGCACTTTGGGGTCATTGTGGGGGTTAAGGTTAAGAAGGGTTCATGTCTTCCCACTGCCTCTTTTTCCACCTGCAAACTTAATGGAGAGGACACAGAGGACTTAGAGGAAAGCAGAGTTCAAGATGGAAGTCTTCTGAGCCCTGAATGACTGAGTAGAAGGGCACCACCCCATAGGGAGCCATGGCATTATCTTCACATGAGCAAGAAATAAGCTACCGTGTTGAGTCTCTGACATACTGGCATTTATCTGTAACAGCACCTGTCAATACCCTAATGTGTCAGGAGTCCCCAAGACTGCCTCCAATTTTAATGACTCGCTAGAGGACTCACAAGACCCAGCATATAGTTACAGCCATAGCGATGATTATTACAGCGAAACGATACAAAGCAAACTCAGCTAAGGGAAAAGGTGTATGGGGTGGTATCTGGAGGAAACAGAAACTAGGGACTAAGCTTCCAAGAGTCCTTTCCCAGTGGAGTCACACAAGGCACACTTAATTCACCCAACAAGGAGTTGTGACAATGCCTTCTATGAAATATTGTCTACCAAGGAAGCCCCTTAAAGACTTTTTTAATCAGCCAAGGTTTTTATTGGGGGAGAGTCAGGCAGGCAACCTCTACCAGGAATGTACCAAAATTCCAGACTCCCAGAAGGAAAGGAGGTGTTCAGCATAAACCACATTGTTTGTACAGTTCAGGCAGAGTGAGCAACTCTTATCAGTTTCAGTGGTGGGAACCCTCCGGAAATCCCAGATGCCAGCCGAGGCCTGCTATGTTAACTCTTTTCTGCACAATTAATACCCCAAAATGATAGAAAAAGACTGATTTTTCTCTTCAGTAGAGTCAAGCTTGTGCCACACAGCAAACTGTAACATAAATGGGTGTTTCTCACGGTAAACAAAACATCCTTTAAAAGATTATCCCATGGAATTTGGTATTGATGATTCCACTAAGTACAAAATCACCTGCTGATGTTGGTGATGATCTTGGGGTGTGGGTTTCCTATGTTCATCCACATCTGCAGAATGGAAAACTTAGTCGAAGATGCAGAATATCCTGATGCCATGAAAGCACCGGTGAAAGGAAGAAACCAATGCTGCTCCCATTTGAGTAGGAACCAGAGTCCCCTGGATCAGGGTCTTAAGGCTTTAGCTGTTCCTAGCATTCACTCATGTGAGTCTGCCCTGTCATGTGAAAACTTTTCCTTTGTGCCCACCCCCAAATTAACACAAAATTTGATTTTTAGGCTGGAGGTAGCAGAGTAGGTGCCACACTGCAGGCACACATTGTCTAAGGGCACTCTGGCACGTGCACATTTATTCATGGTGTCCTGCAACTAAGGTCCCAAAACACAAGAAAACATGGCGTCCTTTGGGAACACTGGGGTCTGCCTAAACTGTTCTGTTAGGCTAAGACCTGGTAAATAGCTCCTGCCTTCCTTTTCCCCAACCTCCCTGCCCAGAAGATTACTCATGTATCATTCCAGGGGTAGTGTGTGATTAAATAAGAATGTATTATATTATGTATTTCATTTCATATTATATTCTTCACCCTCTTTTATATGCATGCACATTCATCTGTACCTTGATTTTTTTCACCTAACAATAGATTTTAGAGGTCACGCCTTTTCTGTACATAAAGAAATTCCTCATTAATGTTGGTCAGAACACACAAAATTTCAGTTAGACAAGAGGAATAAGTTCAAGAGATCTATTGTACAGCATAGCAACTGCAGTTAACAATATATTATATGTTTGAAAATTGCTAAGAGAATAGATTTTAAGTGTTCTCTCCACAAAAAGTATGTGAAGTAATTAATAAGTTA